GAGGTTGATGAGCCGGAGGAGAGCTGACAAGACCCGAGCAGTTTAATCAAATGTTCCATTTGACTCTTGATGGACTCCACTGATTCGGGATGGTTCGAGTAGGGGCCTGTTGAACTACTGTGGACTCCGAGGTCGTAACGAGACCTTTAAGAGTGGAAAATTTGGCAGAAGTCCTATTTGTCTGTTTCTTATGGAGCTTTCAACATTTGTCACGAGTATGATAGTGTTTGTCACAAAAATCACATGTGGAGTGAGTGGCCCGCGATGAGGTGGCAGAGTGTGGGGTACAGTTGGATACCAAGGCTTAAGGTTCGGTTGAAGGAGTGGAGTTGCTAAGCATGACAAGTTTCCAACACTCTCTTCATGATGAATCTCAGAGAATGCTTTCTGGGTTGAAGGAAGAGGATCACGTCCAAGTATACGGCCGCGGACTTCATCGTGATCCTTGTTCAGGCCCGTCAGGAACTGGAACACACAATCCTTGTCCAAAATTTTTTTGTAAGGGTGAAATATCTGCAAGAGTCTCTACTACAGTCATAGTAGATATCACATTCCATCCCTAATGCAACCAAGTTGTTATAGTACTGGGTCATCATTTTCGATTCCTGTATCGTCTCACGAATCTTCTTAGAAACCTCATAAAGTTGTCCCAAATTACCGATGTTTGAGTAGGTGTCACAAACAACAATCCAGAAGGCACTTGCAGATGAAAGAAACAGGTACGAACGACCAATCAAGGTCTCCATGGAATTAATGATCCTTTATATGACCACGGAGTTCTCCACTTCCAACGCTGCAATGGTGGGTGAATATTTGGAGGTTCACGAATCATATCCTTAAGATGGCCGAATTTAACTCGACCTCTGACGAATAACGATAGAGCTTGAGACCATTAGAGAAAATTGGAGTCGTTGGGTTTATGGGTGGTAATCAGAAAATTCATGTAGTTTTTAGGTCCTCCGGTTTGCGGAGGGATTGAGATAGGTGCCAATCCATCGGTGGATTCAAGAACCGTGTTAGACGGAACCTCTGTGGTGGAGGAATCAACCATGGCCCCGATGGAGCCAAAAGAGAAGTTGGGATGCCAAGACATGGAAGGAGAGGATTCCATGCAAGCATATCAACAAACTAGGACCGCAGAGAAAAAATTCCAGCAAAAAAAAAAAAGAGAGATCTAGTTTGGCAAGATGTTGGTCAAGTTACAAGAAAGGGATTCCAGGAGGCAAAAAAAGGAGATCCTATTGTTCTTGTTAAGAACCCTAGCTTGGGAAGACCTAAAGGGGGGACTTCCGACTGTAGGAAAAGGTGCCGGCTGCAGGCAGGCAACCAACTACTGGCCTTGGGATGATTTGATGGGGAGTCTAGGTGCAGGAAGGGCGTCCGATGGCTGGAGAAGGGGAGGACCAGCAGCTATAGGCCTGTAGGTGACAATTCCGATGGCTAGAGAAGAATTCTGACGGCTAGGGTAAGATCTTTTGACTCTGATACCATGTAGGAATTCAAAAGGATAATTTTATTGATATCAAAAGTGGTAAAAGTACATGATACAAGAGTTGTGAAATAGGAAAGACACACCCAAATCTCTAGGATTAAATTAATTCCAAATAACTACCTAGAAATAAAAGAAAAATTATAAACTAGGAGATACATAAACAAAGAAATATATAAACTAGAAAATATTTGGAAAATAAAGAAATAAACACCAATAAACTTCTAATAGTATTTAATAGCTCACATGCAAACTTTAATAGGATTGTTCATATATTGCGTTACAACGCTAGTTGAAAACCCAATATTAGGATGGACGGAGACAGTGAGTGAGGTTACCTACAAAGCAACAACATCAACCTTTATGATAGCTGTGGTCCTAATTTTCTTTATTTACTTTAAAGCATTTGTGTCTCTTGAAGATTAAGATTATACTTTCTTTGGGAAATAAGGATAACTATTTTGATTGTCACTTACATACAAAAAAAAAAAAATAAATCAAAATTATCTAAGTTTTTAAGTTTTTTATCCCAAATTCTCTTGCCAAAACCCTTTTAAATTGGTCAGCGCTTCCTTGAAGTCACATGCCAATATAAGATCTACATACAAAATTAGAATAGACTTTTTTTTCCATTAGATGGGCAATTGATATAGAGAGTGGTAAGCTTGGCACCTACTCATACTTTTCAATCTATTTAATGAATCTTGCAAACCAGCATGCAGGAATTGTTTGAGGCCCTATATCATTTTTCTAAGTCTTCATGCATATCTTAGAGGCGCTTCTTTGATTTTTCAATCTTAGTAGTATCTCTAAGTGTACTTCCTCTTCAATGTCCCTGACGCGGAGCACGACACTTGCCATGATGCCACAATTCGCTGTTTATGGATCATCATGAGAGAATGTGACCGAGAAAGCTTTTCGTTTTGATGTTATTCCTATTTTCCACAAGTTTCCTTCCAATTTTATTTTATTTTTCTGATTTTCCTCCTATTTCTCTATTTCTAGTTTGGTTATTTGATATTAGGGAATTATTTATATATCAACAATTTTCTAATTTTGTTCGAGTATTTTGGAGATTATAATCTCTAGCTTTTAAATATAGAGTGTTGTATGATATTCTTTTTGAGAGTGGTGTGCTAAAACGGTATCGTCTGGAATGAGAGCCTGACAAACCCAAAATTTTTAGGGATTTATCTTTCATGCCCCAAATTCAAAATTCTAGGAAAAATCACCATTCCCAAATCATTCCAACAACGAGTCTTAGTCCTAAACTAATTTTCAAAATTCAACCTTTCTACCTCACTAAAAATTTGCCCGGACACCTGCCACAAAAAACCTAAACTTCGACCAACCTTTTATCTACAACCCTGATGCAGAAACTTACTGCAAAAAAAATATCGTGGTACTGTAGCTGCTACAATATCACAGGAATATCTATCGTGGGAGACGAGCCAAAATAATCCCCTGTTTTCCTTTTATATGCTTTATTTCCTATTATCCTTCATTCCTTTTTAGTCATTTCCTATATATGTGCTGTTTTAGAGTTTGGAAATCGGTTTTTCGTAAATTTTGTTTAGGATAGCTATCAACGTCCGTTCTTCTCCCTTCAAGGGTTGTATCTAAGGGATTGGGTGGTGCTCCTTCTGTATCTCTTTCCAGAGGTGATGATCTTCTTTGCATCCCCCCGCATTGCTTCCGGTCGTCCTCAAATGTTACAGCCATCCACAGATAGTCGTCTGCTACTATTTCCCTGCAGTTTTCCCATCTTCCAACCGCTGCCATCCATGTTTTGGCTTCCTGCCACCATCCTGGACAACGGGGAGTTGCTCTCCTTACACGTTCCGACACCCCTAGCCATCCCCATGACTTGCTATTGCCGAACCCTGCTGTCTCAACCATTCCTACCAGCTTTCAGCCCTCAGAATTGTCCCAAAAGCCCTCTACCTTGCTGCTGCCACCCAAATAACAAGGTGCCACCACGTCTTGCTTTTTCCGCTCTTTCTTGTGTGTTGCCGCCCAGGACAGCAAGCGACCATTGTTGTGCCATTATTTCCCCACCGTCCTGCCGCTCCTCTACCTTTCCGCAACCTTTTTAAACCCCCGCCGATCACCACCACCACCCTAAGATCCCACCCTAGTTTAATTATTTGTGTCGTGTCTGTTGCTATTTCCAATTTCCGAGTGTCATTTTATTGCATTTTCCCTTTCAAGTGTGTTGGTCGTAACTATTTATTTGCCTTTTGATAATATTATTTGTTTTCATGTTAGGGTTTGGGTTAACTTGTATCATTTGGTATCAAAGTTATCTTAATCCTAGTCCTATCCTAGAGTTTCTAGCATCTACCATTACCCAACCTTATCTCCATTCAAAATTTTTCTTTCTCACCCTACATCACCATTTCACACCTCCTTCCTCCTAACCTCACCCAAAATCTAGTCATGCCGCCGAGGAGATAAAGACAATTGATAGGAAAATACACGATGCTATATATGAGAAATTCACTAAGAGGTGTCCAGAAGACTTCTAAGACGGATAAGCAATGCAAAATCAACCAGCTACAACAAAGCCCACTTTCTAGATGAGGAAATCCGGATGTGCCACTCACAACAACAACAGTGACTTGCTAGATTGAAGGGATAGAGTAAAGCTATTCTATCATGTCGATTCTAGGGTTGAAAAGCCTTTACCTCGAAGATGTGACCTGAAATATTCGATAAGTTATAATTTTGAAGTAAAGATGGATTTACTATACTTTGACGACCCATAGAGGCGAACGTGATTACAGAGTGACTCTGAACTTTGAAATGTGTCTTCGAACATCATGACGTCCCATTGGACGGAATGGTGAAGCTAGGCACTAACAAACTGAAGAAGAGTGCATTATTTAAGTAGCAAAATCTAAGTATCTACACCAAGAAGAAAGAAAATACAAAATTACTATTTGGTCCAAGATGAAATCGAAGATGCAGGTCACTACAAACCGGATGTTCAGACCCTAGCTTCAAAAGTGGTAAACCACATCACTGATCGACCACCACAACTTACAGGCAAGGTTCAGCCACAAAATCTTACGATCATAGCACACCCAAGGGAATATCCAAGTTGGAAAGGATCTGGTCATGTTAACCCAAACCCAACAAACAAATTGACTGCTCATTTTATGGGCTGAATTCAGCTAAATCTTAGACTAAACAACTTGAACAAGAACCTCTACCACAAACGAATTGTAAAAACAGATCCAACAAATGATTTGTACTTTGGAGTATCAGAACACACGCACAAAAAAAAAAAAAAAACATCAAGAGTCAGAAACAAGCATGTATCCTTAGGTCTAAAAATTAGTTGTTACTAACGTCATCCTCTATATTAGAATTAAAAAAAAATAAAAAAAATAAACAAGTATAAGAATATAAAAATATGAATAAACAACTAAGGTAAATGCCATTGCTTCGGATACACATATAAAAAAGTTTAAGCAATTGAGACCATTCAAAATATTATAGAGAAAACCTGTTTATTATTTTTAAGAAAGTGTACTGCGAAGGATGAAAGCCTGAGTTGAAAATTTGCAGAAGGCGGAGCAACAGTTTGTTCCACTCCTTTAGTGGACTCACAAAAACGTAAAACCCGGGTTGAACCATCTGCATAAACTTCAAAGCCCAATTTGAAGATATCTATTCCATATGGCTCCTTATTAGTTCCCTTATCATTTTCTGATTGTTCATTCAGTGGCAAACGCAGTAGCATCCTTTTATGTTGCCTCGTCTTAAAGAATGACTTCCATTTACAAACCTTGTCGATGTTGATTTCACGCATTAAATTAAAATCTGCATAAATAAATCAATAATGGTAACATATGAAACTAATTCTAATAGTTTACTCGGTACAATGTTAAATATCTAAAACTAATCAGACACAAATGACAGAAAACAAATCCTTAATGGCGCCAATCAATCCATCTTTAGTGATGGCCAATTTAACTGCAATCTTCATAAAACAACGTAAATCCCTCAAACCTGCATCAACCCAATTTTAAAGTTTCGCTTGGATTAACAAATTTGACATCCAAACAATAAAGAGGATTTAATAAATCCAAATCTTTGGATTAAGTAAGTACTAATTGCAGTCGTATAGTCACTAATACAGTCAACTCAAGTTTTCTCTTGCTATACTCGAGCTACCCTACTAAAGCCAATATGTAGAGATTAGTAATATAGCATTTGAAGAACTGAAATATTAGTTAAAATCACATAGAATTAGCTCATACAAAAATAATACCACGTTTTCATTTTGTAAACTAAAAACATTATCAAAAAGAAAAAAATTGCTCTTTTCATCAATCTACAAATTCGGCTCTGGGAAATCATACAAGATTTCAATAAACTTGGCTAGGACTTCATTGCTTGAACTTCTACATGGACTGCAATCTTTGTTCTTTGAATGAGATAAATGCAACTAGTTCTTGAAGTTGTAAATGAATGAAAGAATTGCAGCCAAAAAAAACCTTAAATTGTGCAGCTATGTAAATATTTGATGGTTGTAACATAAGCATGAAAATATTATGACCTAAAGGTATGCAATGTCAAAAGCAAAAAAATATCATAAACTGAGGCATAAATCAGATTAATAAGCAACACAGAGATTGAAATCATACATACCAAGAATTTCAACAATTAGCTTATGGGGTAAACTCAAATCATCCCAAGCATATTCTGCAGAGGCTCCAGATGGTAAGATCTCTGATTCAGCTAAATCCTGTAAAGGTTCAACAAGAAACAATAGATTTCATGAAATCTCTCACATTAGTGTTTATATCTCTTTCCTTGTCTAACTTTATATGAAATGAGAAAATGGGACCTTTTGATAATACTTTATAGATGCCCCTTGCAAAAGATTATCGATCCGGTATGGTAGTGGTATATCTGGTGGCATATAGAAGTACAAGATTAAACTAGAACATTCTTCTACAATATGGGCCACAGCATACTGTGTTAGCTTGTTTTCTTGACAATCAATTAGATTTGCTGATCTACAATAATTCACAGAACGCCCCTTGAACTTCAAGAAAAATCGACCAAATGAAGCAATGCAAATAGGTCCTGACCAGCTATGACTAGAACATCCAACATCTTTTATGCAGAATTGGACAAAGATTTGGTTATTCTCATTCCTATCAGCGTGTCTCGAAAACACAGAATCAAAAAGACTACTTTCCCTTCTTTTGCTTGCATTGTTCCTTAAATGCAGTGAAACTCTCTGCCTAGTTTCCACAATTGTATCTCCAGTGGATTCATCCTAATCAGAATGAACAGTTGAAACATAACCATTTAAGTATTATGTATGTTGTATAGAAAATTGCTTAAAATGATGTATATAAGAACAGGGACCTGTATATAGCATTGTCGAACCACAATAGACTCCTTTGATTCATTTGCTATTATAAATCTTGATACAAAGGAAACCAGTTGAGCCGGGACAGAAACTTTATGGACACAAGGCTGGAGTGAAACCCCCAACTTAGCAACTTTACTACCAACACTATCGACAACTTCCAGTGAAAGCTCTGTCAAGCCAGTCAAAATATCTAGATCAAGCAATTTCAATTTTGTAGTTGTTCTCTCTTCCAACCATTTAATATAAATCTTGTTCGACCTATTTACAGCATGAAAAATGCAATTAGATTTGCGATAGCAATAGAATCGTGATGAATACTACAAGCCTTCGGACAATTAAAGAAAACAATCACTGAATTATCAAAATTCTGCCGAGTCTGACAAATTCATCTGCAAAATACTTACTTCAAAAACCATGATTTCATAGACTTAGGGGGTAAAAGACAGCCCGATTCAGGAGGAATGTCAGACGAGTGCATTTCAGTTTCACTTTGCACCCTGCAAGGGTTTACATATGCCATTTGAGAATCAAAAGAACTATCTGCATGCAAAAACTTGATCAACTTTACCTTGGACTAAGTTTCTGGCTCGAAGTAGAGCAAAACAAAGTAAGCTCGGAACTATTTTGAAGTGTGTATGTTGTAAAAATAGTTGCCTGCAAAAAGAAAAGAGTTGAAAAGGAAATTAAAAATCTTGAATCAGAAGTAGCGAATTTCATACTACAAAACAAAGCATAGGAGAACCTTTAAAGAGAAACATTGAAAAGATATATAATAAAAAGATAGCAAATAAAATATTGTTGTCCTATATATCGTTGTTTTGTCTTCAAACTACCTCCAACAGTCCCGTATCTGAACATGACAATCGTAAGACTGCAAAATATGCACCACCAGCAAAATCTAAATCTATGTCGATAAAGTGGACATCATTCCGCCTTTTTTCCAACTTCTTAACCCAGGCACCACTATTAACGGGCCTGCAGGTAGAGCTAAATGCATTTAAGGTGATTCTGAAATATATATTAGCTGGATTTGCATAGAAATATGCACTCGACTGACATGGTATGGTAGCCTGCCTACCAAAATTGGCAAAATTCTCCAACATAGACATATCTGCAAAATAAGTAAATAAACAAATGATAAATAAATAAAACATAAATGTTGATCCAGATTAAGGGTTTCACCTGGATAATCATCGGATAAAAGGACAGATATCTCAGACTGCAAGAAATTATAGACTTGAACTGTGGGATATATGAAAATTTCATTTTGCACATGCATAGCAGCTGGTGAAGAACGAGCCTGATTTTGATCTCCAAGATTTTGAGGCTGCATTAATGGCACATCTCTTCCAATGGTACGTATTAGAAAATGCAGATCAGAAATGTGCCGGTCTTCCATGGTAATAGGACAAGATAATGTACTAAAGAAAGATTTTGAAGATCTAGCACCTAAAGCCTTTCTGAATCTATAATTTAGCTTATCAAATATTCCAGAGATACGCAATGCTCTTCCTCCTCTAATTTCTTCAGACCAGAGCAAAGAAATGTTTTCTTCACTATTTTCAGTGCAATCAGTGATTTGAGGTCTCAAAGAAAGCAAGAAATTCCCTGGCAATTCAAAGAACAGCAAAAAAAAAATAATAATAATAATAACAAGACAGGTAAATCCAAAATTACGAGAATTTTCCAGAATCAACAAACTGCCCAACTTGTTTACATTGGATGTGCCGCGCTACGATAAACATGCATGCGTATTAAAAGAATAGATGCTAAGTCGACTTGCAGCAGTTGAAGAAAAATATACCAAAATTTCCTTGAGTGCAGCAAAAAGTGAAAGATATCTGAAGAGTGAGATTGAGGACCAATAATATCCAAGGGTCCCAATGCTAACAAAACAAATAATGACCAATTTTGCAAATATTAAGTTTTCAATACATCCTGGCACAAGGTTAACCGGCAACATTTTTAAATCCCAAGGAAGGATTCAACTGATGGTTGAGATGTGACAAAAGACTAATTTTCAAATATACAATAATTACTCAATGACATTGATATCGGAGTTTACCCAAACCACAACATTAAAAAAATATATATTATAAAAGAAAAAAATAGACAGTTACAATCAAACACACTTGAATAAGAAATTACAACTAACACTCGGGGGCTCGATCCATAGGTGGGGGAGGTCGGCTAGCTAATCGGGGATCGGAGATAGGTGACTAAAATAGGTTGGGGATGGTTAGGATAGCAGCAGGAGGGGCTGGAATTGCGTTGGCAACAAAGCAGAGGGCTGGGACAGTGAGGGCAGGGAGTGGGATGACAAGAGGAGTAGCGATGAACAGTGAGAAAGGCTGGAACTTCCATGGGACAGCATCCTAGGCGACAACAGAGAAGGGGCGATGCAGGGATTGTAGGACAACAAGGAGCGGTTGTCTGAGACGGTGGCAATGAGCAAGAAGGGCTGAAATGGGAAGATTACAGTGAAAAATAGCAAACGAGTGTCGTTTGGGGCGGTTGCAGCGATGTAGGATGGCCAGTTGCATCGTAAGGAAGATGCGAAAGGTGATCGAGAAGATAATCACCACCTCGGAAGAGAAATGACTGGAGCACCACCCAATTCCTTAGATACAACCATCGTAGGGACAATAATGAATGTCGGCGGCTGTCCTAAACAAAACACACAAAAAAGTTGAAAACCTATACATGTGAATCAAATATATAAGTCGTGAGTAACTAGGATTGGACCCACTGTTGAAAGCAAGTGCCAAATCCACGTAAGGAAGGCCGGATGTTCCAAATAAACCCAGGTTGCTGAGAGGGTTCCACATCCAGTCCAATTAACGGATTGGTCGCTGGATTATAGCATTTGTAGCAAAAACAAAAATAGGGGCGCTCCCGTGTCTGTCCCCAGAAGTTAGGGAAGCTTTGACCTCATATAATAATAGGAAAAAAAATAATAAATAAATAAATAAAAAGGTGCGGGCGGTTAAAAAAGTTGCAAACCTCAGGGAATCATAACAAACATTTTTTCACAGTTACCCTATTTGACGAACAAGCAAGCGAGAGATAGCAAGAGAGAAGAAGCTACGGTACCCTAACGAAAGAAGGAAAAAGTCGCATGAAGAAGCGCGACAACTATGCAGTGTCGGGCCTTGTGAAGGAGAAGAGGAAGGAGAAGAAATTTCGGTATTGTGTCAAGACTGAAGGCAAAGGAAGGAGAGGGAGGTGGTGGCATCGAAGGCTTACTTGGACCGAGCCACGATCGAGGAGAAAACCACAACTTCTTACGTTGGTGCAGTGCAGAAGAAAAGAAGCTGAATAAGAGGAGGAAGGAGATCTTCGGCTCTGCCAAAAGGGGAAGGAGAGCCAACGATCCTTACGTGTGGTTATGGATCGCACAAAGATTAAAGGGAAAGCTCCCTGCTGTTGAGCTCACGTGAGTTAGAACAGGTCAGAGTTTTATAAGTTATGATTGGGTTTTTAATTAACTAATTTATTTATATTATTACATGAATATGTGTTATATTGGGTGGGTGTGTTTAATAATATTAATGACAAGTTTTATTGAAATCAGAATTAACAATTAGTGATTTCAGATTAGAAGGAGAAATTGAAGGAGCGCGCGAGTTAGGAGGAGAATCAATCCAAACAATTTATAAGATAGATATTTATCTATCTATATATATATAAACCCAAGGACTGATATATTAAAGAAAAAGATATAGATAGGTTTGTATGAGTGGGCATAAACACCCAACCCACACAGTACAACACACACGAAAAAATGTAAAAGATGAGTACATATAGAAATTAAAAAACCCAAAAACCACCCGGACGCTGAAAAAGTGTGGGTCATCTCAATCTAGTCTTGCCTCTGGCTCTAGTTCTCGGTAGGGATCCAACTAGCAGATTGGTAAGATGCTGACCATTACCCGTAGTAACCAAAGTACCATCCATAAGACTCCTGAGCTATAGTAGATCTGCATTCTTCTTCCTCCTGGAAGTGTAAATCTGTCATTCCTTCTCCGAAAAATTAGCCTGATGGGGTAGATCTGAAGCAGAAGGAATACCAACAGTAGTACCCACAATAGGTTCTAGAATATGTGAATCATGAATTGCCTCTATACCGGATACTTCTTGAAAAAGTGGAGCTGCGAGGCTCTCCTGATTATCAGTCTGAACACTATCATTTATAGGTAATGGTCCATCAGTATTGTTTTCTATGGAGTTCGTAGGTGCCAACATCGTATCACTCGCAGTAATAATAACAGCAATGTCATGGGGGGGTCCTCAGGGGCAGCAGACACCTCCTGTCTGGTAGTATCATCCTCAGGTGGAACTAAAATGTCCACAGCAGTGGGGTTAGACCGCTCCTTATTCACTTGAACCTTAGATTTCAAAATAGGATGAAGCTTATAACATTTAACAATGATATGACCAAACATCTTATATATGGGGGTTTGTGTTCCATGACAATTTGTTGCCAATAACCATTATGGGTTTTGCCCAACCAGACTTCAGTAACATCAGGTAAAGTAATATCCTTATCTACAAGTATTCTGTCCACCGAGAGTCTGGTTAGGTTAAAAGTAGGCAGATCTAGTTTCAAAAGATCCCCAAGGATGACCCCAATAGAGTAGAGAACCTGATGATGAAAAAAATGCAGCTTGAAACCAGGTAAACTAAACCATATCGGTAACTAAAGGTAAACTAAACCATATCGGTATAGTGGGAGTTTCGTGCTTTGGGTCCAAATTAGGAGACCACTTGAGTAACTTCATTAATTTGCCTTCGATATTAAGATATTTCTTGGAGAAAATTCTGGTGTAGTCTTCAGTCGCTGTTAGTTGGATCAACACATGTCTCCCACCCATGAGTCTCACTTTCCACTTGTCACTAGCTCAAGATCATCAACACTCTTTTTGATAACATCTATAAAAGGGCATCCTCCATTGAAATTTGCCAATAAGAGCAAACTTGAATTTTTCCATCAGGATAGAAATTTCTGATTCAGAGAAAAATATTGTTTCTTTTCCTCATTTCTTACTTCCTTTTTTAATAAAAGGACAATCATCTGTACCATCACGACATTCTTTATAACTTGAGGGGAATACCACTGCGGACTCCTCCTGAGGGTTACCCACCACGCTGACAAAGGAGACTTTGTCTGGCTCAACCAAAGAAGGAAACGCCATCAGAGACTGTCGGCGTTAAACTGCTGCGAGGTTGCTGAAAGACAGAGGAGCTGTTGGGCGCAAAAGTAGGAGCAGCGTCGAAACAGAAGAATCAGACGCAAACGATAGCTGCAAGCGACAGAGGCGTGGAAGACGACGACGTCGAGCAGAGCATGTGCGAACGTCGACGTCGAGCAAAGGAATGATAGCGACAGAGGAAGACGACGACGCGAGCATCGACAGGTTGTGCTAACGTCAACGTTGATGCAGACGCTGGAGCGAGGGTCAACGATGCGAGATCTTCTCTTCCAGCGGTAGAATTAATTGCGACCGAAATCGCCATTGAAAGTTTTAGCGGAGCTCTCGAGCGTAGCCGAGATCGTGTGTATATATATATA